CAGGAAATAAAATATTTTGGTGGACACAAGGAACTCTATTTAGGGACTAAACTGAGGCTGCTTTAAGTTCAGCCAATGTCCCTGTTCATGTGTGTACTGACTATATTGTCCTGAGCTGGTCTGGTAGATGGAGGTCGGCACTGATGCTGAGGCTGCACTGGAAACGGGCACTTCCTCCTCTGTCTTCTCTTCGTCGATTTTGGGAACTGCCGGTGAATCCGTTGAAAGCTCATTGAGTATTTTTCTGCGGGAGAGGAGAGTTCCATAAACTCCACGCAGACAGCTCAACATTATCAGACTTTACACACCATATGCATTTTTTATCATGGTCTTGTCTACTGTTGACGTCTTCTCACCGATAAGATGGACGCCTGGAGAGAATCTCCCGCCTCTTCTGAGTGTCTGTGACTGACTCGTCATCCTCCAGCTCTGCTACAGTGGCAATCTATAGACAACAAACAGTGTTTAACAAGGGTGAGTGATCCGCAGTAATGTTTTTTTTTATTTTTGCTTTTGTGAGTGAATATGTTTGATAAATTGTAAAAGAGAAGGATGATGTCAAAGAAGGAATCCTTTCAACCCATTTAAGGTCTCAACAGTCTTTACAGAGCTCTATATACTGTGTAATTATTTGTGAATGTGTGAGTCAATGCCTGCCTTTCTCCAAGCATAATTTCATTGTGTTCAGAGGACGATGTCTGGGCCAGTCAAAAGACATGTCTGATTTATGTCAGGTTAAACAGAGGTGTGTCCACATCCATTTATTGGAAGTTAGGCCTACGCTTTTTAGATTTATGCACTCAAAAGGTCTCAGAGGTTTATAAAAGTAGCACAATGGTTGCTGCTGCGGCACACAGGTTTTAGTCTTGACACAGTTTGTCAAGAACATGTTTACAGAAGCAAACATAAAACCTTTAATAAACTTTAGCTCTCTGTTTTCAGAATCAGGGATACAGGGAATTTACTGTACCAATGTAATTATTACAATGAAAAGTTCACCACAATGAAGTCAAACTTGTTATTGATGAAGCTCACTGATAGCACAGAGTACTTTGAAATCAGTTAACAAGACCACATTGTGGTTTCCATCTGAGTTTTCACTGTGCAGTTCACAAGTCTCTTTCCTGACCCGTTTCCTCGTAAAGATACTCTTCACGAAATTAAGAAGTAACCTGTGCACTGCACACCAAGCTGCACTTGAGAGAAAACCTGCTGCAAGATCTAACTGATCAAAGGAGGGGAGTGTTATTTCATCCAAGTTCAAGTGCTGAAAACAATGCAACATCCGTGCATCCGTCTGCACCGCATTATTCAGTGAAACCAGTCCTTCCAGAAAAATGCAGAGTTTTTTTGTGATTGTTGCGCGCAAAAATCCTTGATTATGCGGCACCTTTCTTAAAAAATGCGATGGAATATGCGGGATATTTATGCAATTTTATGCAATGAAATTGAGGGAACTTGCAAAAATTGCGGGAACTTGCAAAAACTGCAGTTTGATGAAAAAGAGAAAAAAAAGTGATTCCCCCAACACCCTGTTCTCACTAGGCTACTACCTTAATGTAAATAGTCATTTCTTATTACTTCCTACGATAAGCAAGCATACTACATCACAGAAAGTGCTGGGAATATTTAAGTTCTCATCTTGTTTTATTTCAGACCTTAATAAACACATGGCTCAAACTTACAAAACATTGATGAGTCAAACAAGTTCTGTAGCTTTACAAAAGGAATATGCTACAACTTCTGTAAAAATGAATAAATGAAATATGAGACTGATTTGCGGGCTTCATCATGGCTTCATCGCGGGGTTTGCAGCTTTTCGATGATGTTCACGTTCGTAATTACGTCACTTCATAACGTTCCCATGGCAACAGGGGGAAATGGCTGCTTTTGTGTGAAGTAAACGCAACATTTTTCAAATTTCTCAAGAAATTTGAAAGATGACGATGGTGACGAAGATTTTTCAAGATATATGTGACTTTTTTTGCAACGAAAATGCGGGGATTATGAAATCATGCAAACCCTGCATATTTTGCGCGGAAATCTGCAATTTATGCGGTGAAAGTGCGGCGTATTTGAAAAAATGCGGCCCCCGCATAAATATGCGGACTTTGGCTGATTATGCATTGAATTATGCGATCGCATAATCGCGTTTTTCTGGAGGGACTGTGAAACAATCACATTCTGACTTTTGGCCAGCGTCACACAGCTTCACCAGGTCAGTGTGTTGTCTGGTGTGTCTGTCCTCCTGCCCAGACACAACAACAACATCTCCTGAATTTGAAGGTTAGACTGATGAGCTTAAACCTCAGCTCCTGCTACTCACATCAATCCTATTAACAGATGCACTGCATCGGACCACATGCATTCCAGAGTACCTCCTACACATGGTACCTAACTAAATCCTCATTCACTAACCCACTACTCTGACATCACAACCTGTAAATCCTTGTGCGAGTACTCATGTGGACAGTTTTTCCTGTTCAATCTGTGTTCACAACAGCTCTCTTTTTTTAAATGGTGATACCAGAGCTATAGGCTGGAGCTATGGGCTCGAATTTGACTTAAGGCACCAAAATGAGGACTTAACTTGGAGTTGTCTTGTATGACTTGAGACTGGAGACTTGCTCCGGCAGAGTCAAGACTTGAGACTTGGCTAAAGACTTGATTTAGACTTGATTTCAATTACTTTAGACTTGCACTGACTGATTTGACTTGTACATGTCTCGAATGATTTCAGACTTGAATTGGACTTGTAAACTAGAGACCTGGCTTAGACTTGACTTAAAATACTTGAATCAACTTGAATTGACTTGACCAATGACCTGGGCTTGTCTTGAATAACTTGACACTTGGCTTGAAGCTTGCTCTGATAGATCTGACCTGGTCTTGTCTTGGTCTTGTATGACTTGAGACTGGGGACTTGGCATGGACTTGACTTCAGTGACTTGAGACTTGAAACCTGCTATGACATAATTGAGACTTGATTTGGACTTGCCTTGAATGACTTAAGAATTTACTTGGACTTTTCTGAAACTTAACACGAGTAGAAATCCTGGCAGGGGGCATCTCATGCTCTCACCTGGACAGTCTGGACTTGTGGTGACTGTATGACGGAGGTCTGAGGGGCCTGGATGACCCCTTGGACCTGCACCGTTTGACTGTCAGACAGCTGGACAACAGTAACACCGGGAGACTCTGCAACCACCGGCACCTGCAGACACAAATCAATACGTTCACGCCTAAAGCTACAATTGTAAAAATGACTCTGTGTGTGGTGTAAAAGAAGAGAAAGTCATCTTTAGTCAGCATTTCAACAAGTTACATATCTCATGCTGCAACGCGTATCCATGAGCATCCAAGTGCTGCTGTACCTTCTCTATCATTTTAAATGGCTAAATAAGACTTTATAACAATGTGTGTGTGTGTGTGTGTGTGTGTGTGTGTGTGTGTGTGTGTGTGTGTACCTGAGGAGGAGCTGCAGGAGATGGACTGGTTTCACTGTGGTTCTCCTCTCCATCTGTCACTGAATCATTTAAACTGCTGTCTAACTGAGGTGAGACCGGGGTATCCATATTCAGTCACCTAGGCAGAAAGACAGAAAGACAGACAGACAGACAGACAGACAGACAGACAAGCAGATTATTACCAATTCTGAGGCCGACAAAGGCCTTCCTTTTATTTTCTACTCTTCTCCAATATCTTTATCAGAGATCACAAATTTTTTTATTTGATACCAAACCAGACAGAATGTGCCTTTTGTTAAAAAGGATTTTGCTTCATGGATCACACCCAGCTCTTCCTGCCCATGGCTTCATTAAAAACCTTTATACCTTTAATAAACTTGGAGTTTCTTTGTTTTCTGAGTCGCCTGCCAGCTTTAAGTATTTGTATCTGTTTTAATGGAGATTTTCTCACATTTAAGGTCTAAAGGTGCCAAAAATGAAACAAAACTACAGTAGAATACAGGTTTAAAGTTGTTTAAAACAAATAAACTAATGTAGTAATAAGTGCAAACCTCTCCACAAAAAATGTTCTTAGAAAGAAGTTTATATCAGTTAAAGTGTGCCAGCGTCACAGTCACCAGCCAGAATGCTGTTCTCATGAGAAACTACAACAGGGCGGCTGTGTAATAAAGATTGGTTCCAACCATGATCTCAAATGCTGTCTACTATCTGCTACTGAACATCTGATTAGGAAAATCCCCGGGTCCAAATATTCAGAAGAATTTCTGCAAGCGTGTCAAAGCAGAAGACAACAGACTCATTTCACTTTCAATCTCACTAAATGGAGCAAAAGCCCAACTTGTAAACACAAGTCCTACAGCTTTTTATTGGTGTATTTCAAGTAACTTTCAATTATAAAGTTCAGGACATTTCCCAAAGACAAATGTGACTTCCCTATTTCAGTGATACAGAGTGAAAATAAGCTGCACTGCAACCCAATAGATTTCATTTTTACACTTTTATTTTAAAACGGTAGATCATTTTATTAACACAATTTAGAAAAAAAGACAGAAAATAGTTTAGAGGAATTTGGAATAAAGACGGAAGCATTGATATTTTTCATGACAAGTTCTTTTACATATTTTATTTTGAAGAGAAACCGTTCGATAAACTTCCGTCATCCATCTAACCCCGTCACACTTGACGCAGCCTAGTGAACTTCAGCAGAAATTTAAAAAAAATAAAAAGAACCGCTGCCTCCGAGCCCGCTGACAACATTTTTTTTTTTTTTTTTTTTTTCACTCCATGTTGCTCAGCTAATTCAGCTAATGCTCGCAAAGCAAAAACTTTTAATGAACAGTTCCGCACCGCAAACGGGTTTGCGCATTGTCCGCCGACTCTGCCGCGACAGGTGCTGAGCAAAAATGTGACAGCTTTGCAGTGACTTACCGAAGTTTTACGTAGTCTGACTCGTCACTAATTACGGTATGGGTGGACGGCCTGTGCCTCCGCTCACGTAGTTTCACGTCAGCGCTGATGATGCTGTGCCGAAAATGTCGACCGACGAGTCAGTTTAACGTCGAAGAGTGTCTGGGTGGAGCGAGAGGAGTCGCCCCCGAGCCGCTTCCGCGTTGTCTCGTATTTTTAATGGACAGTAAGTAAGAGCTTTACAGTGTGTGTTTACTTCTTGTGTGTGTTACTTTTAAAGACACTCTCTGTCCTGGTTGCTGCTCTGTTTTGAGTCTGTTTCTGTAGGCTGTTACTCTTTTATTAGGCACTCATTGTTTACTCACAGTAAAGTTCAACTCAACGGAAACGTGTGCGTGTGAACAGAAGAAGTATTTCAGTTTACTGAGGAAGAGGAAATATAGCTAATATTAAAGTCATATTAGCGCCAATAAAATGTTTTATAACGCGTCTGTAGCACTGTACACCAAATACACTTTCAATTAAAAACAGCGAAACTTGGATCAAGTTTGCAATGATATCAATTAGATTATATTTCATTAAATGAGCAACTTTCAAATGAATTTCGGATTTTTTTTTACTGAGTCAGTCACTTTTACAGATCAGAGTAATGTTGCCATCTACTGGCTGAAACAAGGAATAACACTTTAAACAGCAGACATGACACAAGATCACTTTATCCTGATACCCAGGCCTTTCTTCCATTTTATTTGAACACAGAAACTATAATGAGTGTGTAAGTAAGTCACAACTAACAGCAGAAACTGGGGTCTTTACTGATTCCACAGGCTATAAACAATCAAGGAGTACTGGATCTTTACTTCCCTGAACACCACTGGAAGACAATACAGGAATATAAACTTTCTATATTGAAAAAGCTTTAAAGATAAGTAGGTTTAGAGCTTTTAAAAGCATCAATTAACAACAAAACTCCCAAATAAATCCTGTTTACTATGTTGTGATTAACATCTGTATATTCTACATGTTGTCCTGATGCCATGCTTTCAGTGTATTATGTCATTCTGACACAAAGGTGTACTGTGGGTGTACTGGAGAATCTGTTCTGTACTCGCTGAATTCCTTTATTTAGATCTGACTCTGGCTGACCCCAGAGCCACCATCTGTCCTCCTGCGTGCCAGGAGAGGTCGTACTGTTCAAACACTGCCCCCGCTGTTATCAAAGAGCACTGCTCCACACGGCCAAGTCGCTCCCTTAATCTTTTAACAGTGTGACGAAAAAGCACCTCATTCAGCAACAACCGGGCCTGACGGAGGTGTTTTTTTTTTTACTGTATGATATTCATAGGTTTCAGTGCTTTGTAGGCCTACATTGTGAATTTATAAAATTGAAATCAACACACAGCCTGCAGTTTTGGAGGCAAAATGTTCCTTCAAGTGTATTATTCCAGCCTTAAATAAAGAAAACAGTCCAAAAATGTAATAAAGAAAAACTAGTTATGTCACTTTTTTTTATATTGTCTGCTTGTGTTCTCATTCTCGCATTTTTTCCTTTAATATTTGGCTACAGTGTTATTGTTATTACATTATTTCTATCCATGCATCATTTTGTTAAACTGGTCTGAATAATGGAGCATTATTGCATCAGTTATTCTGGCCAGTGTCCCCCTCGCCCCACTGCTTACCCTCTGGTCCTTTCTCCTCCCTCCCTCCCTCCCTCCCTCCCTCATCTCCTTGGCCTGTCCTGCGGTCAGAGGATGGAGGCTCCAGATGGTCGAGTACCGGCAGCAGAAGGGGGACCCTCGGGGGGCACAAAGGCCTGACAGCGGGGAGCCAAATATGACCTGAGTCAGACAGCTCTTTAGCACAAAATTAGCCTGGGATGAACGCGTAACACAATTACATGCTGTTAATACCATCAAAGAGGCATTTGTGGCGCCTGTTGTGGCCTTTGCAGCTTAACTGGCCTAATTTGGAAAAAATGTCACAGTCCTTTCAGAAAAGGTGACGGTTAAACATTTCTCAGAGGTCAAGCTGCTGTAACTTTTTCTCCATGATTATTGCCTACATCAAACAATTCTGCACAAAACAGCTACGAGGATATAGTCTGTATATCCTCCAGTACGACTTCCAGGAGCAAAAGATGGACATTGAAACGTCTGCAGTGAATGTTAGCGTCTCAGATCATGTCGGAGGCTGCAGGTAATGTGTCTAAGGACTTAATGTGGGGTTGTAGGCTGGTGTCCCACAGGGTTCCTGGCTCAGATAGCTAATGTGTTTGTTGTGCCAGACCTTCCACACAACCAAAACACTTTATAACTGAATCTCCCTGCTATTTTTGAATGCCCCCGCTGCTGTGTTATAAATTTAATTTGCTCAACACAAGCTGTTACAATGCCTGTACGATGGATCCTCATCCAAACTGCATCTGAGAAATGTTCCTGTGTGATACAGTGCTGGTATTAAACACATTTCCAGTTGGGAGTCTGGTTTGGGGAAAGTAAATACAGCTAATACATAACATACATTACACACAGACAGCATGGTTACACTTTTTATGATTAAAGTGTACAGGACGTTGTTATAAAATAAATATAGTCTAGGTGTGAGATTTGAATTATAATGAGAGGAGTAACTGTCCACTGTGCACCACAAGAGGTCACTACTGATTCAAATATGATGCTTAGTCAGACACAAATGTCACATCTGACAGGTGGCTATTTAAATGTGAAAGCTAGTCATTAGCTGGTTCCCCTAACTGGTGCAGAGTGAGAGATTTAGGGCTCATCTGTTCAAATACATCACTGTCTGCATCTTCCTTTCCAGTTTCACTGACACACTAATGTTCATCTTCTCCGTGGTTGGGTGTGGACGTTGAGCCTTAAACTGCAGTTCAAGGCTGGAATACAAAGCTTCTCAAAGGGATACCATCACACCGGAACAAACATTTGGGTTGCAGGGCCTCAAGCAAAAAATGTTTGAACTTTTTGGAGTAACTCTTCTCTTTTATGTCTCTAATATTAGTACATTTCATTTGAATTGGCAGGAACAATATGTTTGGTGAATAGAACTGAATGTAACACAAGGACTGGGTAACATTCTGGTCAGATAAGCATTTGAAATAATCCCAAATGGGGGAAGATACTTGCATCCAACTTGCAAATTGCATGCATGCATGAAAAATATTATCATATTAGCTGTGTCCAAAGAGGCCAAATGCCACATTTGGATGCTCTTGAGGTATACTGTAACAGAATGATGACTTGTGGTCCAAATACCTTACATCAGATGAAGCTGAAAGTTCATTCCCTACCTAAAAATAACTCTTATTGTCTTCCAGAGTGGATTCAGTTTGTACATATCACGTAATGTGCTGTTGAAAACTTTGGAAAAAGCCAGAAAGTGGCTTTTGTGGTCAAAACTGCATTATTTTTCTCAGGAAAAAAAATTAAAATCATCATTCAATATCACTGTGAAAACTATAAAATGGATGACCAAGCAAGTACTAGAACATTTTCCAGCTTGCACAAATAAATAATAATAGTATTTGGTTACGCTAACTGGGGTCTCATCTGGGAGAAGAACAAGAACATTTAATAAATTACATTTCTACGAGGAACTTAGGTTAAACTAAAGTCTGTCTTTAGGGAAACTGTGAACTATAAATCTGTGCTGAGTTGGTGTCACTTCCCCACTCTAATAAAACAATCACTGTGCAAGGTGGTTCTGACCTTTGCCCCTCACTACGCTACTTCACTGTTGCTTGTAAAACTGAGGCACGTTGTCCTGGTTGATTGTACGTATCTCTGTTCTTCTAACATCTGCTCAATGTGTAAAATGTAAAGTAACTCTGCTACAACACCTCCAACAGTGCCCTTCACTAAAAATAGCCCATTTATTCATCCTCATCCAACCGGCGTGATTGCACATTTCCTTCTTTTGTGAAAAACCACCACAAACAAGTGCTCATATTCTCCAAAGTGGAGGCTGTTTAATCCGTTGTGACAGCTGCTCTGGCTGTGGTCGGTGGCCAGTGAGTGCTCCAGCTGTGTTAAGAGTTAAAATAGTCTTGCAGCTGCGTGTTGGCATTAAATGGTGGAGCGATCCCATTTAACCAGTGCCCATGTAAACCACACACGCTTTCCACATAGTTGAAATTCAATGGCTCTTCTCTCTTTTCATGTTCTCACTAAACCTTGTGTTTCAGCTCTTTTTGGCCTCACGGACAATTCACCCTTCAATCAGGAGACGGAGCAGGGATATCTCAATGCATCCCTTTTTTGTTTTCATTTTAAATGATAAAAATCAGACCCTTTCTATGAATGTAATTGGATGCAATCAAATATGAAAACTGACGTAGAACTTCTGTGTTTAAGGAAAGCTGGAGCAGAGGTGACGTACTGACTGTCTTACACTAGCCCGGTCCCTTTGGTGCAGGTGTGTTTGGTGGTACATCCACGTGGAACATGTGCCACAGCAGCTGCTCCCAAAAGCTC